ACACTTTCTTAGCCTCGTCTTATTCTTCTGATATGAGGGGGGAAATCCACCTTTCCTCAAAATGGTGTAAGTGGCTTTTATGTCTGTGCCACACACACACACACAAAGGAAACGTTATCCTCTCCCCTGAAAAATAAGTAGCAGTTAAGCATTGAGGGCTGACTGTGTTTCCTGAGGATGTGGACAAGAGGGCCTTTTATACACCAGATGAGTTGTCTGCCTGTGGTTTCACCTCCCACAATTTAGGACACGCGTACCAGTTTATTATTAGTTTACGGCATATGTTTATCAACTTTCTTCTTTGACCTCAAAATGCACTACTTTCCTTTCTCAATACATAGGCTCTCGCCAAGCGCAGTGCTCCCTTTTGAAAAGCTTGCAATATCAGGTGACCAGAGAGAAGTCAAACAATCTCGCTCTAGAACCAGAAAGCCTCTTTATCTTTAAGGCACGACTTTCTAGGGACAGGTAGTGTGACCAGTAATCCGGCTTTTGTGGACTGCAAGTGAGAATGAAGCAAGCTGATTTACAAATTCTAGTTTGATTGTCAAATGTGTGGAGAAGGCGAGCAACCCAGAGTCTTCCATCCCTCACTGAACATAATCCCAGGTGCTCATTTTCATAAAGAATAATCTTTGAGTTAAAACAGTGCTGAAATGATTTATCTATCCTTCAATTTTGGAGAACCTAGAATTAAGTGTAGAATTATATGAGTCAGCCATATAACCATAGTAACACAACATAAACACCTTCCGCATGCAATGAAGGCAAACTGAATTTAGCATATATGTTTAAGATTGCCTTGACTAAATATTTTTCTTGATTAATAATTATAGTAACAGACACAGTGGAAGCAATGAGATTAGGAGCCAAGAGACGGTGTCAGAATCTCTTCATGGAGATTTTGCTTGTCAAAATTATTTAAATTGGAGGCTTTCTACAACCAGTACTATTAGCCCAATTAATTGAGACTCAAATTGGTTACGGGACGTGCCCAAAGTCACACACCTGGTGAGGAGTGTAGCAGGAACATAAAGCTAGGTTTGGGGCTCTTTTTCCCACTAAATCATAGCATCAAAATTTCTCAATAGGAACTACTACAACACTGATGACATTAATACACAAAACAAATAAAATACCATAATTTTCAATCTGAGGATATTGAGGTAGAACTCAGATATGTTCTGGTTGACCAAGGTTCCAAAACCCAAACCACACCCACCGCCATCAGGAGATTCCGTCTCATAGGACAGGAGAGAACTACTCCTTCCAGTTTCTGAAACTGTAACTCTTTACAGGAGTAGAAAGCCTCATCTTTCTCCCTCAAAGGAGCTGGTGGCTTCAAACTGCTGACCTTGTGGTTAGCAGTCCAACACGTAGCCACTACATCATCAGAGCTCCTTAAACTCACTGCCATGGAGTCAATTCTGACTCAGCGACTGTAGTGGTTACATATTGGACTGCTAAGCCAAGGTAAACAGTTCTAAACTATCAGTTGCTCCTCAGAAGAAAGATGAGGCTTTCTACTCCCATTAAGAGTTACAGAGCTGGGAGGCAAAGGGCATTTATAGAGGTCTAGATAAAGACATGTACATATGTAAATATATTTATATATGAGGACGGGGAAATAGATCTATGTGCCTACATTTATAGGTTTAGTATTAAGGTAGCAAAAGGACATTGGGCCTCCACTCAAGTACTCCCTCAATCCAAGAATACTTTCTTCTATTAAATGGCATTCTATGATGTTCACCTTCCCGACACAACCGCTGAAGACAAAGTGGGTGAATAAG